AAAAAAAAAAAAAAAAACAACCAAAAAAACCTCCCCCCCCCAACCCCCCCAAAAAAAACCAACCAAAAAAAAAAAACTTCATTGTCCCTTTGCAATCTTTTCAAGTTTAAAAAAATAGTCAACTTTGCCCTCCTGTAGCGGTTCAGTGAGTTTATCTCCTTCTGATTCAAGCAGCTTTGCACTTTGTTTTTTTTTTTTTTTTGGAAAAACACCACTTCTATAAAAACACACAAGAAACAAACTTAGTTTCAGTTTAGTCACGAGCTAGCCACAGGACTTTGCTGAACACAAACTCCTGTCATGGGAGACTCTTCTCTATCAATGCCTTGCCTCATGGCAAGGTGTCCTTCAGTCATGTAATGAGCAGGACCTGTGTTAGCAGAGAACTGGTACGTGGGATGTCCAGCTATGCCCGTTTCTTGGCGCGGATTAGAGTAGACTGTTAAATTCATGTCCATCGCTCCGTTCTGTCCAAAGTCCAAGGTATTAGCAGCCACTGGGCGGTTCTGATAGGCCTGATTGCCTTGGTTACCAGTAGAGGAGGAAGATGTAGAGGAAGAAGTAGTTGAGGAAGACAGGGATGTCATGGAGTGGTGACTGTGGCCCACCTCCATAGAATCCTGGGTGGAGGAGCTGTTTGTTGGAGAATTGTAGACTCTCGGCCTGGTCCGGCTGCCCAAGGCTTGCTGTCCATGGTGGTGGTGGTGGTGGTGGTGATGGTGGTGGTGGTGGGAGCTGTTGCCGTGGTGATGATGTAATGCATTCTGTTGTTGAGGGTTTACATGGAAGGTGGTTTCTTGAACTGGGTGGTTTTCAACAGTGACCTGTGTCGGAGCTTCGGTGGCCGTCCAACCAATCGGGGGAGGAAACTGCTGTCGAACCTGGCAAGGAGCACAATCACAATTAAAATGCTGGCTCAAATGTGCCCATTTCACAGGACCAGAGAGTTATTAAGGTTGGAAAAGACCTCCAAGATCATCAAGTCCAACCTTGAGGCACCGTCTTGTCAACTAGACCAGAGCACTGAGTGCCACGTCCAGTCGTTCCTTGAACATTTGCAACATATGAGAGATTCATATTATTGAGTTATTCATATTATATGAGATTCATATTATATATATTCATATATATTATATGTATTCATATAGGTATTAATATTATATCAGATATTCATATTATATATTATTATATATTAACATATATATTCATATACATATTCCTATTATATCAGAGATTCATATTATATATATCACTATATATTATATATTTATATATATTTTGTATATTCATATATATTCTATATTTATATATATTTTATATATTCATATAGGCATTCCTATTATGTCTGAGATTCATATTATATATATTCACATATTTTTATATATTCGTCTAAGTATTCATATTAAATGAGCTATGTTATATATATACATATATATTAATAGATTATATGTATTCAAATAGGTATTCATATTGTATATTATATTTGTATTATATATTCATACAATATATTAATATATTATATAAATAAACTATAAGTATTCATATAGGTATTCCTAGTATATGAGAGATTCATATTCATATATATATATGTATATTCATATATATTCATGTATATTTATACCTATTTTTATATATTCATCTAGGCATTCCTATTATGTCTGAGATTCATATTATATATATTAATATATTTTTATATATTCATCTAGGTATTCATATTAAATGAGCTATGTATATATTCACATATATTAATATATGTATTCATATAGGTATTCACATTGTATGAGATATACATATTATATATATTCATATATCTTATATATATTTGTATGTATATATATTATATCAGAGATTCGTATTATATGAGAGTTATTCATATTTATGCCAACTTTTAGAAAAGTTAACCAAGCCTTGCAGTTGCAAAATTATTCCAGAAATGCAAGCACACAGTTAGGAATCACTAAGAAAAATAATTTTTGCATTCTGGATGTTTTTTCCTAACAAACAGTTGAAGTTCAATACGTGACCCTGCTCTTGAAATTCTACAAGCAGCTTTAGGCAATAGAAATAATAAACAACATTATATTTGTACAACACACAGGACAACAAGGCCCTGATTTCTGGCTGAGGGAGACAATAAGCAAACTAAATTAATTACGTTGGAGTTCATACCTTGAGTGGTGTCAACAGCATGAGAGGAACCTCTGGAACAACACAGCTGGTTAAAAAGGTCACTAAAACACCAAGGTCTGCCTACACACCAGATTGTGCATAAACTGAAGTGTCCACTGGGGAGAATTCCTGCATTTATCTGTTCTGTACTATGATAAAACATTGAATTGGCCTCTTCAGACCTACCTGTGGGCTGTGTGTTTCACAGTCCATCGCTTGAACAGCAGCAGTGAAGTGCCCACCACTATGTCGATGCTGGTGTGTGGGGTCCGACCGTGCCCTCCCGCTGTTGCTCGTTCCGGAAGATCCACCTGGAAAACCAGAACGTGCCTGATAATTAAAGAGGCACCAAACTTAAAGCTGCGTGAAGATAACGTGAACTGCTCCAAGGGGGAAGCACGAGATAATCACTCACATTTTTGCTCATCTAGTTTTAGGGTTTTGGTTGGGTTGGTGCCTGTTCCAGCTGATTAAAAGAATTGTTTCATGAGTGTGGTTGATGTGTTGGGTTTTTAACAGGAGGAAAAGAAGACAACATTTCATAGAATCATGGAATACCTTGGAAAGGATCATTATGTCCATCTCCTGGCCCTGCCCAGGACACCCCAACGATCCCCCTCTGTCCCTCAGAGCGTTGTCCAAACCCTCCTGGAGCTCTGGCAGCCTTGGGGCCGTGCCCACTGCCCTGGGGAGTCTGTTCAGTGCCCATCACCCTCTGCTGATTCACGTGGGAATTATTTCCATTGAGAAATACAATTTATCCACCTGCCCACGACAAAACCTCACCTGAGCTCGAAGATGTACTAGAGGTGGTTCCCGAAGACTGCGACTGCTCCATGGCAGGACTGGTGGACACGCTGTTACTCGTGTTTGTACCTTCATCCGCTGTTTTCTTGAAGAAACTGTGCTGCAGGGCGTAGTAGGGCTGGATCCGTGTCTTGGGGTCATAGTCAAGCATCCTTAAGATGAGGTCTTTGAACTTCAAGTAGTCGGCTACAGTATGACCCGGTTCCCCAGCCCGGCGCCCGCCTGGTCCTCCTGTCTCAACTCCCAGGATATTGTGAAGTTTGCGAGTCGCGGGTGGTTTGTATTCCTGGGGGGAAGGTGGGAATCGCTTGAGATCAAGGTGTGGGTTAAGCTTTGGAGGTTTAATTGCAGAAGGAAGGGAAGTCAAATCAAAGTAAGGAGCTATTCAATGCTACAGAAGGTGTTACTCAAAGGATGAGATGGAGCAACAGTGAAATTCCATTGTGAGGAAGACAAGATGTAAAACAAAGTAACATCTCACCATTTATATATTAAAAAAATAAATATATTTATAGATATATAATATTATATATCATCCTGGTTATTTAGCCTATCCTTTTTCCATCTCTGGTCTTCTTCAAGTTCCAAAAAAACCAAAGTAACATCTCACCATTT